TAGTAAGACGGGGGTATTTAGGGGGAGAGGGCTCTACACTACCGACTACGGTGGCCCATAAGGGACATGGAATCCGATTTTCAATATTTTGATGTTTCACTTACTTTTATCGTAACCTTTTGCAAATTAACACAATTTGTCATACAAATATGTGATAAATCATGCATTAAAACAACCGAAAATGTACTTTCAAGTAACTATTGAGTCGCTGAAATGTGAAGCGAAAATGTCAAAAAACTAAAATGGAATTGTCAAAAACCAAGACGAAAATGTAAAAAACTAAAATGAAAATGTCAAAAACAAAAACGAAAATGTCAAAAATAAAAGCGAAAATGTCAAAAACTAAAATAAAACCACAGAAAACATTATCACCGCGGCGGAAATAGTTTTCTGTATTTTCATTTTAGTTTTTAACATTTTCGTTTCACTTTTCAGCGATTCAATATCTTCTTTACACATGCTTTATCACATATTTGTAAGACAAATCGTGTTAATTTGCAAAAGGTTACGATAAAAGTAAGTGAAACATCAAAATGTGGAAAAACAGACTCCATGTCCCTTATGGGCAACCGTAACTGACGCCTCTGATTAAAATGACGTGCAGTAAGTTGTTGGATGACACGTGGACGTCGTGCAAGCAAATGTCATCTGTGCAGACGATTTCGCATCGACTATGCATGTACCCTTACTCGAGTTGCCTGCTGCAACCGGTCCCACATCTGAGTGGCAGTTTGCAACCGATTTCTGTATGCATCGTTCTGACTAATCTAACCTGGGCCCTGAGTTGTTGCCATGGGGCGTCCAGAGCGGCGTCGATCATCGACGTTATGTGTTTGGTGACATTGGGCCCACAATCTGCTGATGGCAGATTTAGAAACATGCAGCGTTTGGGCAACAATATTCTGACGTGTGCCCGTCTGCAACATGTCAACGTTCAGCGCGTTGCAAACGTCGCATGATCAATGCTGTTGCTTCCTATATGACTACATGTGTTTAATAAAGAGTCTTTGAGTCTTTAGTTCCAAGGAAACAATATGCGCCTGCTCAGAACCGAGACTGAGTGACAAGGTTAAATCTGGTATACCACCCTCACACGTGCTGTCCTAGGTCACGTGCTGTCCGAGGTCACGTGTTTCATGACTGTCTCATTGTGTTTGAGAATTTGATTTCTTCGAACATTCTTTTGCCACATAGAACATTTAGTTTCATTGCTAGACATTGTTGTATTTCCATGTAGTTTCACCTCAAAAACAAAATATCCCCACTTTTGTGCATAGTATATATACTTTCTGCGACAAAGACATTGACTGGCTGTAAAAGTCCAGTTTCCACCCCTGCCGACCGAGGATGGAAGTTCTGGGGTCGATCGTAGCGCCAGCAGTGGCTATGACAGGTTATGTCCCTTCTATGTCCCTCCTACTGACCAATCAGATTCCACCTCTCATATCGCTTGCATTTGCTTCAAACAAAATGGCGGCGCCCAGTCAAGACTATCTGATCGATAATCAATATCTATGTTGTAATAAACCGGGTCTTACTTCGCGAAGCGCATCAAATCACGTAAGCACCTTGATTAAAGACATGGAAAGATTTGGAAAATATTTGTTGACGCACATGCTTTGATAAATCCTGCAATCAACCGAAAGCTGCACGTATGTCGATTTCGTTCCCTTACCGTGTGTGTGTGTGTGTGTGTGTGTGTGTGTGTGTGTGTGTGTGTGTGTGTGTGTGTGTCTCTCTCTCTCTCGACCTGTTCTACTTCCTACAGTAATAAATTGACGAATTTCTTCCTCTCGAAAAGGCCGTCTTGTGGTCTAGTGGTAGAGCGTCCGCCCAGGGAGCAGAAGGTCCGGTGTTCGATTCATGGCCGCGTCATACAAAAAAGACGTTAAAAGATGGTACTTGTGCTTACCCTGTCTGGTGCTAGGCATTAAGGGGCTAAAATAAGGACTGGTCGGCTCGGAGTCAGTATACTGTGTGGGATATTCATGTTAAACTGCGGCATGGTATCTCAGTGTGCTAGCACTATAAATCGGCATCAGTCCGGACTAGTACGAGCACACACACACACACACACACACACACACACACACGCACGTGCATGCACGTCGCTATATACGTTCAACAATTTTGGACGCGACGTAAAACCCCATTTCACCTCACCTCTTTTCGAAATGCGTCACCAAACGGTTGAAATGAAAATGTAAAACATCTGGCACGTTTATCAATCTGAATTGTTGCTGAAACTCCCTCTTATACCGGTCAAATATCGATATTTGTTTGGTATTAAATTTACTGATTTTCACCCTTCAATTCACACTTTACATTTGGAATGGTTCTAGCATTTGGCGGAGATCATTTAAATCCGATGCCAAGAGGACAGGCAACTGAACATCTATTGCCAAACTATTGATTTTCTATAGCTCTCGAGAGAAAACAACAAATCGCCCATCAACTTACTTTCTCGTTACATCACTGTAATGATAATTGCGTTCAAGCGTCAGGCAACTTATCCTGAATTGAAAGTAAATGTTGATATACATCTGCCACCTGTCTGCTATAAATAAGGTAGGTTAATTCTCATAGTGATCTTCAAGGGACGTGATTATTTAGTGCTTTGTAAATACAATTGGCTCTTCGCTAACTGCTGTTAAGACGATAAATTACAGTTTGACGTGCTAAAAGTGGCCCAGCCCACTACCAGTGTTGTCAATTAACGTCAGATTAACAAACACATTTGACAACTAATCGCGGCCAGTTCACAAACATGCTGACTGACGTACAATGTCCTCGATAATTTAGGCCGCTGTTATTATTTTTATGTTACGTTTTTACTTTTCAAAAAGAATATTGTGTTTGTGATCAAAACCAATGAAGAACACATTACAGTTTTCATTTAATTGACGTAATACCATGAATTTGGAAAGAATCCATTCAGGTTTGACATTAAGAGGTTTCAAATTTCAATAATTACCTCTAACGAAAGAGGCAAATTTGCGGGTGCTGTGCGTTTGCTGTTTGAGCCCGGGGTGATGCTGATGGGGAGAAAGATGTAAAGACAGATTCAGAGATAACAAATGGACATGGATTCTGGTCAATGCAGTTTTTTTTACAATTAAACTTTTAATCATAAGCAGAAAGAAATGGAAGTTCAAAATCGCTTTCGTATTACAGCTTTCAGTCTCAAAGTACCCTAGACTATTTTTTTAGCCATTGATTACTTAGTCACACGTTATCCATCTTCCCGAGGCAAGGGTGTTAACTGACTATATAAGTCCAGTTTCCACCCTGGCCGAACTTGGTTGGAATTTCCAGGCTCGATCCTAGCGCCACCAGAGGCTATTACGAGTTATGTCCCTTCTATGTCCCGAATTGTTTGATAGGCATTACTTAGAAGTTGACGGATGACAAAGTAGATACAGTTTATGGATAACAGTATTAAAAAAGTTGTTATTCATACATTGTGTCTACTTTGTCTTCTATGTCCCTCCTATTGACTAATAAGATTCCATCTCTCATATCGCTTGCATTTGCTTTAAACAAAATGACGGCGCCCACTCAAGACGATCTAATCGATAATCAAGCTCTGTATTGTAATTAAATGGGTTTTACCCCACGAAGAGCATCAAATCCTTTGAGCACTTTGATTAAAAACATGAAATTATTTGCAAAATATCTATCGAAGCCATGTTGGCGGTACACATGCTTTGCAAATCCTGTAGTCGACTGAAATCTGCACGTTGAAATCCATGTTGTTTACAAACCGGATGTCTAGTACGTTACGCGATTTTGATTGGACGATGCATAGACTCGTTAATCCAGCCAAATAGTGACTCCGGAATTCCAGTCTAGTTCGGCAAGGGTGGAAACATTCAGTCAGTTTACGCCCTTGCCTTGGGAAGATGAACGCTATCATTCACAGTGGGCAATGAGAGATCTTCCACATATTTTTATTTTCTTGGGTCCTGTCTATTGGGTTTTGTAAACTGATGAGATGACCTTTCTTAAATATCATTTTACTTCTATGGTGTACTTCGAAGTAGCATGTTTCTGTGCTGTCCCAAATCAGTCCCAGACGAATTCTGAGATTCCGCGATCACGGAGAATGTAACTTTCCACAGAATTGCAGAAAAATCGAGGAATTGCCCTTTTATATCAATCAATCCACAAATTTTCATTATTTTCAAGGGGTTTTTTGTCGAAATTTGAACTCGAATGATGCCCAAAGATATCACACATTTCAAATATACAAAATATGAATCCTACAAAAAAACAAAACTTGAAATATATCATTCTCACTGTATTATGTTCGTGTGGTATTACGACACCATAAACTGTTTACATCTACCATAGCCGTCATATAGCTGGAATATTGCTGAGTGCAGCTTAAACAACAAACAAACAAACAAACATCTACCATAAATAAATATCAGACACTAAGCATATGTATTTGCATAAGTTTATGTCTTGAAATGTCTTAATGCAAGACGACTATGCTTGTCGTAAAAGGCGACTAACGGGATCAGGTGGTCAGGCTAGCCGACTTGGTTGATGCATGTCATCGATCCCAACTGTGTGGATCGATGCTCATGATATCAATCACTGGATTGTCTGGTCCAGACTCGATTATTTACAGACCGCCATCATATAGCTGGAATATTGCTGAGTGCGCCGTAAAACAACAAACCAACTAACTAACTTAATGCAAGAGATTAAAAACTTGAAATGAGTTAATGTATTAATGTTTGTGTGGAAAACGGTCATGCTTTTTCTGCACAATTTTGTAATTAATAGCCACAGAATTTTGTAATATTAGCAGCAGAATTTTGATAATTTTACTGCAGAACTTGTCAGGGACTGCCAAGTGGTCACATACACTCATCACAGTGATTAATTGGGTTAGGGTAATGAGTTCATGTATTTTACACAAATATGCAGCTTATCTGAGGCTCTGTAAACATGCATATTACTGAAGCCAAACAAATAACACACAGAAATAATAGATTGTAAAACTCAACATTTATTCTGTATACCATACAGAACCGGAGAAATGGTCTCCATGACAACTCTCCATTCCAACAGCACCATGGACACACAGTGAATACAGGCATACGTGGCCTCCCAGTCAGCACAGTGAATGAGGACCATGCAATGACACAAACACTTGTTTACAACACTGGTAGGGACACTAGCACACACTGGGTTATGTGGAGATATAATGATTATACACTTGGTGTTAACACAAGTACACACTGGTTCTAGAAAGATATATGACGTTCATAACATGGTGCTAACACAATTATACACAGGCTATAATACATATTATACCAACACTTCACTCAAGCGTTCTAGGTGTGGCTATTTAACTGTGAAGATGATACTGCTATCTACAGTACTGCATGGCTATTTGGATATAAGGTACTACACTTATAAGGAACCAGTTCACCGAGGTCTGGATAATTCTTTCATTTCGTCATTTTTGTTCTATATATACCCCACACAAAAAGTTAAGAGCCACCAATTCCTTCATATTTCTATAGTTAATGGCATGGCATAACTTTTGAGGTAAGGAAACTATTTCATTTTACTTTATTTATATGTTTAATATACACTGGACAAAAAGGTTGGATTTTTCTAAACGTTTAGTGACGTCAAATATGCATATTATTTTAAGACATCAAACTGAGATAGTAAAGCTAGAATGTTGATCAGAATGTGGAACATTTAGTGACACAGGTCAAACATTTTTATGAAATAACATTCCTGTTTAAAATTACAAGGAGCTGTGCATCGGTGAACTGGTTCAGCCTTAGCTAAACTGTCAACTCGGCACTTTTCCGAGCTTTCAGTGATGGTGCAATGATTCTGCTATAATAAATAATGGTGATGAGGAAGTATTCACTGATATTATGCGACAAGTTTGATCAGTGTGATGGATGTGATGACGCAGCTGGGATATGTACCTCTATGCAGCACTATTGGGTTGTATAGCGGGACCCACTATCTCATACTCTGTACATATAATACACTCCGCTAATATTTACACACACACTCTTACATTCTCACACACCATACAAAAATATATATACTCTGTTCAGCTCAAATAAACCCCCAATCACAGACTCAATGTTTGGAAGTTTGTACAATCTACATTTGATTTGACATCTCAAATTTTAAAATCAATGAAATATGAGATATGAAATATTATGTGTGCCAATTATTTAGTAATGTATTTTGGTATTTGGAGAGAAAAAACAGGTAACGGTTGGCAGATATGGAACACACTCGATTACAATAAATACACAAGCAGGTTAACTCTTTCAGATGGTCTAGCGGATCAGCGTGATCTTTTTTTGTAATCACATCAGGAACTCCAATCCTGAATAAGCCAAGAAATCAGGATGGCATCAGGAATCGATGCTGTCAATGGACACCTTGGTAAGTGAGTGGACCAGCTGATCGGGGATTTCTTGATTTGACACATCATCTGTATCAAGATCTGCTGGTGACTTGACACACCTGTACCAAGATCTGCTGGACACTTGACACATCGGGACCAAGATCTACTGGACACTTGACACATCGGGACCAAGATCTGCTGGACACTTGACACATCGGGACCAAGATCTGCTGGACACTTGACACATCAGGACCAAGATCTACTGGACACTTGACACATCGGGACCAAGATCTGCTGGACACTTGACACATCGGGACCAAGATCTACTGGACACTTGACACACCGGGACCAAGATCTGCTGGACACTTGACACATTGGGACCAAGATCTGCTGGACACTTGACACATCTGGACCAAGATCTGCTGGACACTTGACACATCGGGACCAAGATCTGCTGGACACTTGACACATCGGGACCAAGATCTACTGGACACTTGACACATCGGGACCAAGATCTGCTGGACACTTGACACATCAGGACCAAGATCTACTGGACACTTGACACATCGGGACCAAGATCTGCTGGACACTTGACACATCGGGACCAAGATCTACTGGACACTTGACACACCGGGACCAAGATCTGCTGGACACTTGACACATTGGGACCAAGATCTGCTGGACACTTGACACATCGGGACCAAGATCTGCTGGACACTTGACACACGGGGACCAAGATCTGCTGGTGACTTGACACATCGGGACCAAGATCTGCTGGACACTTGACACATCTGGACCAAGATCTGCTGGACACTTGACACACCGGGACCAAGATCTGCTGGACACTTGACACACCGGGACCAAGATCTGCTGGACACTTGACACATCTGGACCAAGATCTGCTGGACACTTGACACATCTGGACCAAGATCTGCTGGACACTTGACACATCTGGACCAAGATCTGCTGGACACTTGACACATCTGGACCAAGATCTGCTGGACACTTGACACATCGGGACCAAGATCTGCTGGACACTTGACACATCGGGACCAAGATCTGCTGGACACTTGACACACCGGGACCAAGATCTGCTGGGCACTTGACACATCTGGACCAAGATCTGCTGAAGATTTGATTACTGCTACAACATGTGACAGGTCTTGTCTGAAACAAAGATGGAGAAACTATAGAACGTTGTTATTAAGTTAGGGAAGCCAGGATTCACAGGAAGCCACAGCTAAATCCTACTGTCAGAGTCAGACAGGTGTCTGCATCTCTGCCTTGTGCAGACCAGTCTAACCATGTTACAGAAAACCAAGACTTAGTGGCTCAACTGCTGGCAATGATATCCTTAATAAAGTTATGATTATCAATTACATCATGTAATCTAATAAGGAAACATCAATAAGAAATTAAAAAAATAATCAAACAAAAGGTTGAATTAGTACCATGGTGTGCCACTTTGGTGAATGCAAGCAAAATGAGAGAGTGAAAGGCAAAGAGATGGTTCAGCCTTGTCCAGACGCAATGTAGGTACGATATTTCTTCTCCACACAAACACCCCACAACAAAGGGAGACAATGACAAGGTGATATTCCCATAATGAACCAACACCAACTTTTCGGACCAACCACAGAAATTACCATGGGCAATTGGGACCACGAGAGTTCTCAAATCTCCGAATGAAATCAGTATTTTCTTGTGAAGTGGCCTACTTAAGCCCAGGAGTCAGGTCAGCTCGTTACGGAACGACAGTTCAATCAAGAAGCGTCTCCCCCGAGCCCAAGGACCCAGTAATGTCTGACGAGGGCTGGTGACATAGATGTGTTAATTGCATGACTGTTGGACATTCATCAGCTGGGAGCAGCGCCAGCGCCCCTACAGGGAGGGCCTGTAATTGACCGTGGCACAGATATGATCCTGTGTTGTGCACAGGCATACTTCAACTGTAGGCAGATGAAGCTTTTCAACGTCAAACCTAAAATATGTGATCTAATACTTAATCTGAAATTCCTTTGAGACTGAGAGGACTGAGACTTAGTTATTGATGGGTTTTTTTGCTAATACCATTTAAGATCAAAGCATTATGTAAAAAAATTTTTTGAAATTTTAAACATCCTATATGAATTTTCAATGTATGAAATAAAAATCAATACCCAGAAGATCAAAATTTCAAAAAATGTAAATTAAGGGAGCAGTTTTTCTTAAAGGTGCATTCCCTGAATTTTGTAAAAAAAAACATAAATATATTTTAAAAAATATAAATTTCAAACCCCTAATGGATACTGCTCTTGTTTAATTTTCACACAAAACAGGTATTTTTAAAATATTAACTGAATTCCCATGTGATAAGTATGGTTCAAATTTCTTTCTGCAGTTGACCCTAAGTAAATAAATGATTATATGATCTCATTATTTGAAAGAAATCATAAATAAACTTGGAGTTCATGAATCAATTAGAATAAAGTTAAACAAGTTTAATGAATTCTTAAAATCGAGTCGCATGATCAAATTCATGAGAATCCATCTCGTCCATCACGCGGGGACAACGTGATGATGGTGTAGACAACGTCCCACGCTGTGCAGAAACATGCATCATCAAGTGATCCCGCTTCAACTGCCTTTGATACGAATTAATTATTGGCTTCTTCTGTTTTGACTTCCTTTTACAGTTTAGTTCTTTTAGTTGAGTGTTAGTTGATGTTTCAGTTGAAGCATCACGGTGCCTCTGGACAGGATAATGGTGGCAAGGACTGCATGGAAACTTTTGAAATCCAGCTCTATGTTTTGTGAAGTGAATCAAGCTGCCAACATCAAAGCTGTATCAGATGGGAACGTCATATTATCCTGTCACCAAGAGTCATTTATCCCCTCTAACCTGGCCCTGCCATCTGTCTTTACTTTCACAAAGAGGTTGTTTGTTGTAACGCCGCACTCAGCAATATACCAGCGGTCTGTCAATAATGTGGACCACACAATCCAGTGATTGATATCAAGAGCAAGAATCAGGGTATGATGACATGCAATCAACCAGCCCAGGTCTGACCACCAGATATATTTAGTCACCTCGTACCATTGGCTGCTGGCGGCCATTTCTAACCCGGAATCCCCACAGGGACATACAGAGTGAGTTGGTTTTCACATTATGAATCAAAGAACGTTCATGAGTCTATTTATCTACCCTGGGCCATATATCCCAGACCCTAATGTTCCTTAGTGAGTGAGTGTGTGAATATGGCTTCACGGATATTTTAGCAATATTTCGGCAATATCACAACAGGGAACACCGGAAAAGGGCCTACACTGTACCCATGGGGAGTCAAACCCTGGGCTACCAGTTTCTGAAGTACCTACTTATAAAACAAGAAGTCCCCAAATGGGCACCACAACGCCATGTGAGAAATCAGAGCCCGGACTTGCATGACAAGAGAACACACCACCCAAAGGACCAACCATGGTTGCCACAAGTTAGGAGTATTCTTGTATACTCCCCATGGAGTTGAGAATGAAATTTGATTGCACACTGATCCAAAGTCTGTTGTAATAACATTGTTTCACAATAAGCACTCACACTGAATGGAATCTGGCGCTTCATAAATGGCTATATTATTTACTTAGTATTGTTATACAGATAGACAAATACATACCTGTGATTAATTATAGGTATTTCTTTGCTGAACTGGACCCTAACGTTGTATATTTCGTCAGTCGCTTCGATGATGGTGTGGAGGGGAAGTGTATGGGGGAGCTCTCCTCCTGAAACAATTAAACAACGTTAGTATGGTCAGAGAACTTATAAACAGAAAACTGCCAAAACTTTTCTCGTGTCTAATAATTTCCAACTGGTCTCAACAGGGCTACAGATACGCAGCGTATTTGCGTAAAATACCCCCCAAAAATATTCCAAACCCAATTACTTTCTATTACCTTGCGTACATAAACACATGTATTAAATGAAAAACTCAAATGTATAAAAACAGAATGCGTAAATACCCAATGAAGCTTTTACAGCATGCGTACAAAGGAGCTAATTTCCGAAACACAATTATGAGCCAATTTATGTTCTGAGTCAACCCTATATATTTAGAACAGTTATATACATCTAACACATTATTTCACTTTTTTTAAATCTTAAAATGTTCACTAATTTGGGGAAAAACCCAATAGAGTGATGAATAGATGTTGGTTACCCAATGAAAAATGTAATAACCCAATTAAACTAGAAACCCTACAGTAAGATCTCAATTGCTCAAAAAGTTATCTGGAGCTCTGTGTAGGACAGAATCAACACTGATGATGTTCTTACCTGGAGAGAGAAAGCTCCCAGACTTATCGAATCACTGTTGTCTATGTGTGACATTGTCGTTAGAGGCGAGGACTCCTGAAGCAGACAATTCATTGATGAGTTCAACAAACAGAAACAAATACAAACAGCAATATCGTAAAACTTTGACACTGATGGAAATCCTATCCATACTGTTACTGTAAACCTGTCGATGACAGAAAGGGAAGATGAGGTGAGGTGAGGTGAAATTGGGTTTAACGTCGCGTCCAAGATTATTGCACTTATATAGCGACGTGCATGCATGTGTATGTGTGTGTGTGGCTGCTTGTACTAGTCCGGACTGATGCCGATTTATAGTGCTAGCTCACTGAGATACCATGCCGCAGTTTAACATGAATACCCCACTCAGACACAGTATACTGACTCCGAGCCGACCAGTCCTTGTTTTAGCTCCTTAATGCCGAGCGCCAGACAGGGTAACAACAAGTACAATCTTTTAACGTCTTTTTGTATGACGCGGCCCGGGATCGAACCCTGGACCTTCCGCTCTCCGGGCGGACGCTCTACCACAAGACCACGGAGGCGGTCGAAAGGGAAGATGAACAAAGATGGACATCACACTTACTGTTAAATCAAACGTGCTTGCTAAACGCCGACCACTCAACTCTCCCGGACCATAGCTGTCCCGCACGAAAGGACTGCTGAAACCATGGGCCACACTAGAGATGGCACGCTTTAACTTGCTGGGCGTCTTGTTGAAAGAAAACGCTCGACTGACACGCTTTCCAAACCTGAAATCCAATAGGTAACTGAATGTTAAACACTGATAAAGTTCCAACATCCTTAAATAGAGCTCCAACATCCTTAAATAGAGTCGCAACATCCTTAAATAGAGTTGCAACATCCTTAAATAGAGCTCCAACATCCTTAAATAGAGTCGCAACATCCTTAAATAGAGTTGCAACATCCTTAAATAGAGTTGGGACATCCTCAAATAGAGTTGGGACATCCTTAAATAGAGTTGCAACATCCTTAAATAGAGTTGCAACATCCTTAAATAGAGTTGGGACATCCTTGAATAGAGTTGGGACATCCTTAAATAGAGTTGCGACATCCTTAAATAGAGTTGGGACATCCTTAAATAGAGTTGGGACATCCTTAAATAGACTTGGGACATCCTCAAATAGATTTGCAACATCCTTAAATAGAGTTGCAACATCATTCTGTACAGAGGAGATGTTGAACATCTCGTCAGATGGGGAATTATTGTATGGTAACATATCAAATAAATTTGGCCATAAGAGATCGTCTTGTATCAGTTTGTGTGTGAAAAATTCTGTAATCAGATGTCAAAACCAATGATGTTGATGAAAGGGTAATGTGTAGGTAAGAATCGAACAACTTGATCTCAATAACTTCGTAAAGGAAATGATACAAATCGGCCCTGGACTGTTTCCGATTCGGTGATGAAGCGATGTACTTACTTGAAAGCTTTACTGATGCGACTGTTCAGATCTTTGGTGTTTATACAGTGCTCATCTCCTTTGACCACGGCCAACAGGTTTTCCTGGAAAATCAAATATTGAAATAAGAGGCTTGAACAGTCTTACAAATGGTTAAAATGAATATACTAATAACAGGCAACTGCTACAAACACAAGTGTAAATTTATATTTTTGGTTCATCAGAATTACAGGTATCGCATCCCATAATTATTTACTCCCATCACACACCGCCACGTCATTTTATATGTGAGAGTTACCTCCCTTCTAAATGTTCTCTACCAATTTGTGTTTGTTTGGCTCTTAAAGTAAGTGAGTGAGTGAGTATGGTTTTACGCCGCTTTTAGCAATATTCCAGCAATATCACGGCGGGGGACACCAGAAATGGGCTTCACACATTGTACCCATGTCGAGAATCGAACCGGGGTCTTCGGCGTGACGAGCGAACGCTTTAACCACTAGGCTACCCGACCGCTCCTTGGCTCTTAAAAGCCCAAATAAGCAATATTTCAGCTAAATGATGGCGGTCTGTAAATAATCAAGCCTGAACCAGACAATCCAGTGATCGATATTGCGAGCATCGTTCCATGCTGTCAGCGTAGGATAACACGCAAATCATCGAACCCGACCACCTGATCCATTTGGTCGACTCTTACGAGGCATAGACAGGTGGTGACCAGTTATAAGCAGTTATAAGCAGTTATAACCCAGAATCCCCATGGGGTGTCCCTACGTTAACCTCTACTTACATGATCTGTGCGGCAAAGGATGTTGGCGAGACTCTTGCACATCACTGTGAGGATGTCGGTTTTGGAGACGTCCTCCGTGTCTAACATGAAGCTGTACAGCTTCTCCTTGAACTCCTTGTTGTTCCGACAGATGAGCCCGAAAGCTCCTTGACAATCTGTACAAGGCAAACAAACATTCAACAGCTGCTCAACTATAGCTCAGTATAATACTGGACCAGGGGATATATCAAAATGAGGCTTAGAAAATTTGCCTGCTAGTTTGAACCATTTTTAACAACCAGCGTTAGAAATTGGCACTAGTCCTATAGTCCTTGCCAAACTGCCCAATAGTTAAGGTATCCTAGGGACTAGTAGAAATTTGTCCTTTTTAAGGGTTTTGCTATATGTTATCATAATAAGGACTAGTAGGCTTAAAGTGTTAGTTTCGCTGACAACTATATGGACAGTAGAATTTCTATTAATTTTACATAGCTTCCTTGCATTTATTTGGGATAATTTGCATTCCAGATTAAATCCTCTCCCAAAGATGATCTTGTGATGCCCACTCCAAAATTTGTACTGTTGTAAGTCAGATTAATTGCAGTCATTCAGATCGATAATCTAACAATCACACTTCAAATAGCAGTATCATAGTTGAATAATAATCAACCCTCTAAAAAAATTACAAAGACTAAAAGAAATAATAGTCTTGGTTCTCAGGCAAACCCGCATCATCATAAAGTTGCATGTTTCGTTTTTATTTCCATTTTTTTTTTAAAAACTAAAAATCGTTAATAATTCCAAAAGGTAGTCAAATACTGTATTCCAGTATTTTACTCACCAAGGAATACATTTATGTAGGGAGGCCCTTTCCCAGGTTGATTGTACACAATTGTTTATTTGGTTATAGACTAGTCAGAACAACCAAAAGAAGAAAAAAAAGACAGCGCCCTCCACACTATATTTTCAAAAACCATTGCCTGAGGACCAAATCTTTTATTTTTTTAAGCCAAATATAATTACTGATATTTGGATCAATAACTGTTGTTTCTTAATGTTTGTTTTGTGCCTACCCTCGGACTCGGCGACATCTAGCACTCGTTTGATGCTGCACAATGGAATCATCTCCAGATGCTTGTAGGCTTTCTGGGGGGTCTTATGTACAGCTGGGCTTTTGGAGGAGTTTAGCACTTTGGTTCTCCTTTTACAGATCTGCGAACACAGAAAAAATACAATGAAGACAAGAAATCAAAGTGAGTGTTCAAAACCAAGGTCTTTTGACCTTTGAGGTTTGCTTCAATAGTACAGTCAAGTCCTGTTAATGCGACATGATTGGTTGCATATGATTATGTCGGATTAACGAGTATGTCGGATAAACGAAATTAAGTAGTATCAACGTTCGTGATCGAAAATCGGACAACTACACGATAGGTAGTGATACAAACACTAATTGTTCATTAATTGTATATTGTTAAACAAGTTTATCTCTGCAGCCGTTGTAATATGCAGCTACCAGCCGACTCGTCTCGCATCAAAACAAGGGCTGTGTACTCGTGGGCCGATGACTACGGAGTACGCTGATCACTGTGTCGGATTAACGAGACTGATTAATAAGTGATATCGGTAAATCGTTGCAAATTTGGTGTGTCAGAGTCGGAGTGCGAGACTGTTGGATTAACGGGTCTAAATAGCACTGATTTAATCGGTTCCCATCATTAGTGTCGAATAAAGCCAATTTTCGTAATATGTGTCGGATTAACGAGACTTGACTGTATTCGAATATGGACCCCAAAATCACTGAGGAAACAAATAACTTTAAACATTGATGTTATGACAAGGACCCATGACCTTTAGGATTAATTTAAAACCACTGTAAATATTACAAATGTTATAACCTGTTTAACAATATTTCTGTAGCATCAGACTGAATCCCTAGATTACACAATAGATACTCCTATAGGCGAAGGACACCTACCTCAATGCTGTCTGTAAAAAGGAATATCGAGAGAGGGTCGCTGCGACCTGACAGCGTGTCGGACAGTTCCAGCACGTCGATCTTGTCGACGAAGCTGCGATGAGAGGAGAGGAGAGTGGCGGGGCAGTTGTCGATGTCCTTCATAATGTCAAACATTGCCACCTGGTTCTCGGTCTTGCGCTTGTCTTCATTGATATGCCTACAAACCAAAACGTCAAACGGTTATGTATTGTAAATATGCTAAAAAGAACATAATAAAATAGACAAAGGCGTGATTCCAACTATTGGTAATTATACTGAACCAATTGAATTATTGTGGGACAGAAGTCATCTTTAAAACTGTTTTTTATAAACATTTGGGTTTTATTTCTGTTATTGAATAGAAATAAGAGAGAGAAAAAAAACTAATCTTGCCCCGCTTACGTCAATATGCCTTTCACTTTGCCGATCGCCTCCTCCAGTTTCCGGTAGTCAGGACTCCTGGGAAGAGTGTTCTTCATGATGTCTGCAAAACCAAGGAGGCCATTGACTCAATATGTTCGATCAAACCTGACAGACGGACCACTTCAGAATATTATCGACACAGGCGTGAGTGAGTATATTACACTGCTTTTAGAATATTCCACTAATATCACATCAGGGACACCAGAAATGGGCCGACATTGTACCGTGGGGAAATCGAACCCGGGCCTTCCGTCCGTGACAAGCAAAAACTTGAACCACTAGGCTACCGCACAACCCTCATCAGCACAAGGAATGAGTGAGAGAATGTTATTTTATGTCAGTCATCGATATTCCAGCTGTATTCCTGAAGCCTGGCAAAACATAGCCTGAACCTGGCAAAACATTGGTGATTGGGTCAGACTACGACGACGCACATCACGACGACACAGCCCCCAGCCTCTACAAGCAGTGTGAGGAGTCTTACCATTGAGGAGGAGGATGACGCTTGGCAGCCTCTGGACCGGTCTGATGAGCAGTTCCTGCAGAGTCTGCCTCCCACACTCTGGCCGCGTCAGGCACACCTACAACACAAGCAGGTGCTTGTTGAACAACACGGGACAAACACCAGCTACTATGTTACTTACAATGGATGGATGGATGGATGGATGGATGGATGGATGGATGGATGGATGTTATTTGATGGTGAACCCAGCTATATTGCAGCTATATGACAATGTCAGTAAATAATCAAGTCTAGACAAGACAATCCAGTGACTGACATCATGAGTATCGATCTCATCAACCAACTGAACCCGTTAGTCGCCTCTTATGACAAGCATGGTCGCCTTTTATGGCAAGCATGGGTTGCTGAAGACCTATTCTACCCCAAATCTTCCTGGCAGTCAGCTGTTAAGATAAGCAAGAATCCAGGGTTTAAGTTGGGACACAGAACGACTTGTACCTTGAGGAAGGCGTGGAACCTGGGGTTGTTCTTGTCACATTTGATGATTGTCTGCTTGGTGTCCTCAAAGAAGTTGACATACGGAGGGTATGCCTTTGTGAGAGCATCAGCCTGAAGCAAGATCACAAGGATTTAATATTAAAATAAATATGTGAAAGAAGCAGTCATACAATGTCAGTAAAACAAACTGGAACATTAACACAATTTCTTCATGGACTTATAACAAGTAAGCGAATCAGTGGTAAAATCTATGTACTAGCCCTGCAGTAGCTGTGAACTTACATAGTCCAGGATTACATCGCCCACGTACACATCCTCCGTCCAGTTTTCCACGATCTCTTGGAGCCTGGCTCTCATCTTGCAGTGAGCATCGTAGATTGGAGGGATGTTGCCGAAGATTATCTTGATCTCCTGTGGTGACAGCAGAGGTCCATTGTACTGGTCAGGCTTCTCGATCTGCGTCTTGAACGTCTGCAACATGGAGGTGGATGAGGTAAGTCATACAAAGATAAATGATAATACGTTACGCTACGCCACTGAGGCCAATGCAACCATACATTTTGCAACCATACATTTACAAACTGATATCTTGGTTTCTTTGTCCTCGAGGTGTGACACTTGACTTTGGAGAAATATTTTCATATTTTACAAGATTTTGTTGAAACAATGAATTAAACAATATTTTAATGTATTAATGGTTTGGTACAGGGGAGACAACTCTGTCAACTCACATTAATAATCGTGGACAGGATTCCAACATAGTTGCTTTCTGTCTGGAAAAGTTCTCTTGCCACCTGTTGCCGTGGTGATGGCTTGCTGGAACCTGTTGACAGGAGCAATCGGTTCTCACCGTTTTCTACAGCACTATGATCTGAAAACAACAACGATCATCATAAAACATGACAAGACCGAGTTCCTACAGACAAAAGACACTTGAAAGTAACCTAGAGTTGCGATATATCCTCTTGTTATAGGCATCTGTTATTAGGAATCCAATCATGAAGAACAAACAGCAGGAACAAAATCCATCAACACGAATTAGCACAGATCAGGGTTTAAGAACAGCACAGCTGAGTGACACCCACATACATATTTAAGTCTTGAGAATTGCTGACTTCATTAATGAGATGGGATATTTTCAGGTATTTTTAAAAATGAGTGAGTATGGTTTTACGCTACTTTGAGCAATATTCAAGCAATCTCACGGCGGGACACAGAAATGGGCTTCACACACTGTACAAGTCAGGAACCAAACCCGGGTCTTTGACGTGACAAGGGAACGCTTTAACCACTAGACTACCCCACCACCCTTTTTAAGAATTAACAAACTTAGCAATGGATATGTACCTGAAATGAGATCAGATTTGTCGGGTGTGTGGGAGGCGTCCAGGAAAGAGTTAGGGCTCATGGACACCCCACCAAGATCGCTGGAGCGGCGCTTCTGTGCCAGGAACTCCACCTCCCCCTCATCGGCCAGCTGCTTCAGCCTCTTCCTCTTCCCCAGCTTGGTGCTGCCGAGGCTGCTGTTGGACGTGTGCTTGTTGTGGGACAGCGTCTGAAACACGAGCATCCCGTCTTAGTGGGGACACACTTACAACTACCTGGTCTGGTTCTACACTGCATAAAACAATACTCAAGCAATATGGTCAGCGTTAGAAATTGGCACTAGTCCTGTAGTTCTTCCCAAACTGCCCAATAGTAAGGTATCACAGCGTTAGAAATTGGCACTAGTCCTGTAGTCCTTGCCAAACTGCCCAATAGTAAGGTATCACAGCGTTAGAAATTGGCACTAGTCCTGTAGTCCTTGCCAAACTGCCCAATAGTAAGGTATCACAGCGTTAGAAATTGGCACTAGTCCTGTAGTTCTTCCCAAACTGCCCAATAGTTAAGGTATCACAGAGTTAGAAATTGGCACTAGTCCTATAGTCCTTGCCAAACTGTCCAATAGTTAAGGTATCCTAAGGACTAGTAGAAATTACCCTTTTTAAGAGTTTTGCTAAATGTTATCATTATAAGGAATTGTGGGCTAAACGGTTAGTTTCTCTCGCTGTATAATAAGGACTAGTAGAAATTTGCCATTTAAAGGGTTTTGATATATGTTATCATCAAAAGGACTGGTGGACTAAAATGTTAGTTTCTTCTGTTGATGATTTGACCAATTTTCTGGACAACTTCTATAATTTGAAAGTTTAAGAATTTACAAAAAGTTCCTATACTTGACAAAGATTAGAAAAAGATTAAAGTTACTAGTTGCATGTACATGTTTAGGGGAGCGCCGATCCAAAGTCAACTCCGAATAGGAGATCGACCTGGCGATGTAAACCCTCATGATGACTTCCACAGGTAAATTTAATCACAGTTGTATCTAGACAGGTGTGTGGATGTGCCTCCCTACTACACCTTCATCACCTGTTCAGGTAAACTAAATTTCAGGTGTATCTAGACAGGTGTGTGGATGTGCCTCCCTACTTCACCTGTACAGGTAAAACGATCAAAAGTAACAGGTGTTTTAGAGCAGGCACAATATAGAGAAAATGTGACAAAATGTACACAAGATTTCACACATCCATTCTCATGAGCTTAACACAGTTCTTCATATAATCGACTTCTGACGTCTCTAAGTTTCCATACAGGTGCAACTATTAAGAACAGCACAGTTCTTCACACATCCAACTTCCTGGGTCGATCAATAGGTGATTCTACACAGACGAGTTCTCTACAGGTGAGTTCTACACAGGTAATTCTGACAGGTGTAACTCTTGAGACTTCTACATTTCTATCTATACAGGATAACAGCACAGTTCTTCACACATCCAACTTCCTGGGTCCATCAACAGGTGATTCTACAAAGACGAGTCCCTCTTCAGGTAAGTTCCATACAGGTAAGTCTGACAGGTGTAACTCTTGAGACTTCTACAGTTCTATCTATACAGGATAACAACACAGTTCTTCACACATCCAACTTCCTGGGTCCATCAACAGGTGATTCTCTATACAGGTAAGTCTTTGCACAGGTGAATTTCTATACAGGTAAGTCTATGCACAGGTGAGTCTCTATACAGGTAAGGCTATGCACAGGTGAGTTTCCCAACAGGTAGGTCTCTGTACAGGTGTGTCTAGCACCAAGCTGCTACAGTGGAGGACTAACGATCCAGCTGATCTGCCTCCAGGGTAGGTAGCTCCTAAGTAATACTCTCCATGCTCCACCGACTTTGGTGTCACTGACGACATACACAATCCTACATGGCCATAAAGTAGCTCTTGCTTCCCCAGATATTCACAGGACAGACTCCAGACACTGTCCAGACACTGTCCAGACTCTCCGATCAAGGACAAGGCCTACAGAGCAACTACTGGTTCTTTTGGCCAGCCAGTCATGTGTAGATATTGGTAGGCGGGAAAATGTAAGTAATAATAAAATTTATTTAGACCAGGAAAAATATAATAAATAATTTGAAGCAACTGAGGATTACATTTCAAAATCTGTTCCACAATGGTAAACCTTGTACTATTCTTAGTGTTGAAGAAAATAATTTTAAAAAATAGAAACGCATCTTCATAACTAATTTCTATGTGCTACAATTTCTATATTGTAAATGTGTTTGTTATTAGGTCAGGGTTTGTAGTTCTTGCACCAGGATGAACATTTCCTTCTTGTTCTGGAAATACACCTTGCTACACTTTGTATAAAGTACAAAAATAGAAAATACATTAATTTAATGTTGGAATTATGCCAAAATATGCCAAGTTTGAACATCTTCCTGATTGTATTTGTATCTTCAAGACAAGCATTCTTAAAGGAATTAACCTCAAATGAACCTGTCAACATTTTAATCTTTTTTTAATTTTGCTTCCTGAAAACTGACTTAAATATAAACATAACATAAATAAAAAATTAATTAGGTCTGACCTGATATAAGTTTGAAAATACAAAGTGTAAGATGTCATGAGAAATGTATGTAACTTGTGGTTGATCGATAAAATGTATGTGAAGAAACAAAGTAATGCATTTTCATTCATGACATTACGATGAAATTAAACTTCAATTAAACTGAGAAAACTATTTAAAACTTCAGTTAAACAATTATAAGATCAGAGTTCTATACCATAAAGAAATATCCTTTTTCTGAGATGTCAGAATAAATTACACCCCTCCGCATGGCAGTTCTCTATTACAGAGAAACACTGAGAAAACAACAATGTTTTCAATAGATATGATCTCATCAACAAACAGGAACTATCCTCAATACAGCTATGAAGCCAGCTCGTGAGAAAGTACCTACGACTACGTACAAATACAGGCACAGCTTATTAGAACGGTAAGCAAGGTCTGATTCATGACTGATATCAACATATTCTCGGAAATGAGTTGCCAATAGAATGATCTCAATGACAGGATATGACAAAGCAGAGAAGAAGAACGAGCCTAACATAGACTTGTACCTCACAATAAACAAATAAAGTTTTTCCTACAATATTCACAAAATCCCATTTTAATAATAACAACAACTTATGTAGCACTTAATATCCAACTTTTAGCTGTTCAGTGGAGCTGATATATTAATGTACAGATTAGTAATATCAAACTTAATATTTTTGGGTCTGTATGAAAAAGATGTAATTAAAACTATTCAATGACAGCCCACGAAATAATTTATGATTTGCAAGTTTTCTCAATCAGCACCAATCAACAATGTACTCACAGCAACAAGCAATAAACAGGACGGGGGAAATATCCAACAAGTACATCAGTCCAAACAGCCACTGACACACTCAAGGTGATCAAATCAATTAGCACTCTGAGATTCTCAACTCCAGTGATGAGATGGGGAGATACTGTCAGAGGTGGTTTGATTGACAGGTGGAAATGACACAATCAACAAGCACCTGCTTGTGTATTGGCGCAGGAGATGCACAGGCTGACAAGTGTCAATCACTGGCTGCAATACACAACTGTCAGTGTGCAATATGAAGATTCACACAATTATTTCCCTACAGTAAGCTACTAAACAAGGAAGTGACTTCCATCATATGAAGTTCTGAGGAAACTCACATGACGTACACTTGCAAGACTTGTCATCTACGACTTTCCTTAAATCTAAGACCTGGTTTCGTTTTCTGGTAGTGTAACAGAAAGGTTATTAAGATCAACACTGATAACATAGATTATTATTTTTCTGACAGTGATAGAAGTTGCTTTGAGTCCCTAGATTTTCTGCCATAAGAATTTAACCCTTAGAACCCTTAAATCATTTATAACATGTGGGTTATGACAAGAGTATTCAAATTAGTGTGTGAAATAATATTTCAACAGCACGAGCCATCTGGGCTCTCTAATGTTTTACCAGCCAATTTCAAATTTAATTAGCCTTTTTTTAACCCTAAAAAAATACAGGGAGAAATCTGGAAGCAGAGAAAAATTATTTCAAGTTTCAACAAGATTAGATCTGAGTCAATATCAATTAATTTCGAAGAGAGATAGCCGCTGGAAACGCACGCACTTACAACAATATGATGCTTTCGGGCACAGCTCGAGAGTTATCTTGTGTTAGTGAGGTGTGACAGCTGTATAACAAGTCATATTGTTTTTCAGAAATCCTTTTCAAGTGACCATTTCTTTCTGAGTTGGGGGAGGAAGGTTTAATATTAAAGGTAACTAGATAGAATATAAGGGTAGCCAATCGGACTACCTTGATATTTTCACTAGCCAGAGAAAACAGACGACTGAGCAAGCACTTATTTCACAAACTGGTTGAAATTAAGGAAAAATTCAATGGTCACGCTAAGGTAAACAAGCCTATTGTTAAAAATAGAAGACTTAGGGGGTCCCTAGGTTCAAGTGTTATAGCAAAAGGACATCCTAATTTCACACAGTATCAAGGACCCTCTGTCATCCTCAACTTCAAAAACTGTCAAAGATGAAGACATTGAAACAAAAAGATGAAATCAATGTCAATTTTAACTGTCTTCATTGTAACAGTATTTTAAACATCACTTAAAAATACTGTCTAGGATGCAGAATAATAAAAGATGAAATCAATGTCAATTATAACTGTCTTCATTGTAACAGTATTTTAAACATCACTTAAAAATACTGTCTAGGATGCATAGTAATAAGTTTAGAAGACTAAAATTGTCAAGTAAACAAGGGTAAATCATATAAACATATAAAAACTACTCAATATCGGCTACAAGGATATTTACCTGGTTGAAGTATACACACGGGCTGCATGCCAGGAGAATCATGATTGACTATAGCACTTATAAATATCTACACGAGGAACAGCACTAGGTGTAGTATATACACTCATATACACCGGGGAAATCCAAATGGTTGTAGACTACACACTACTCAAGCACTTATAATCCAGGGAGCTATGTACAGAATGGCAAGACAAGCATCTATGTACAGATAATGTGTAGGACTTGAGACAAGGGGTTAGACTGACCACAGCTGGTAGCCCTGGAGGTTTTGTGGCCTCTCCCCAGGGAGGGGGACAATGGGGACAAAAATACTCTGTACAATCCCTGATCCCTTCCTTACACCAACATCAATGTTGGCACCTATGTTAATGTGGCCAGTGTTTACTAAATCTGGGGGTAAGTGGTGTTTTCCGAAGTGATTTGTTGAAACAGCCATCCACTCTCGTCAACAAACCAACTCGTTAGGCTGTCAGACTCTCAAGCTTGGCCACAATCTGTTGCAGTCAGGGCGGGTTAACGAGGGACAACGAGGATTAATTTATTAAACAAACAACATCAAAGATAAAAAATTAAAAATCTGTGAAAAGCGTTATCATCTTGTTTAAAGGGTCAAATCTTTATGAAAATTATTTTTTCTAATTGCAATTATGGGCCCTGATTTGAGAAATTGACCAGGTTTGGTGGCCGGAATGATTAATCTTGTTTACAATTAAACAACCCACATTGACATTAAACAAGAATATTTGCATACAGTGACGAGAAGATTGTGATTATGCGAAACTTTCTGTAGAATCATCAAACGTGAATAGCTAGTGTGCAGACATGCAATACATAGGATGACTTGTTGCTTTGTACTGATGTAGACGTGAAACAGTTTGTGTAAATAATTAGGTTGGACATGCTAAACAATGTGGTTACAATGAGACCTGGTTTGATCTCTGGTCCTGACCATCAGTGGTTGACCACCCACAGAGTTCTGACCACAGGAAGCTGTGTCTGTTCTGTCTCAACTAACAGTGTTTAGTCCTAGCCAGTGATCACTATCTATTTTGAAACGTGACAGCAACGTAGAAGATACACTATAACTTGTAGACCAACAGTGTTCAGTGATCACTATCTATATTGAAACGTGACAGCAACGTAGATGATACACTATAGCTTGTAGACCAACAGTGTTCAGTGATAACTCTATATTGAAACGTGACTGCAACGTAGATGATACACTATAGCTTGTAGACCAACAGTGTTCAGTGATAACTCTATATTGAAACGTGACAGCAACGTAGATGATACACTATAGCTTGTAGACCAACAGTGTTCAGTGAAACCTCTATATTGAAACGTGACAGCAACGTAGAAGATACACTATAGCTTGTAGACCAACAATGTTCAGTGATAACTCTATATTGAAACGTGACAGCAACGTAGATGATACACTATAGCTTGTAGACCAACAGTGTTCAGTGATAACTATCTATATTGAAACGTGACAGCAACGTAGATGATACACTATAGCTTGTAGACCAACAGTGTTCAGTGATAACTATCTATATTGAAACGTGACAGCAACGTAGATGATACACTATAGCTTGTAGACCAACAGTGTTCAGTGATAACTCTATATTGAAACGTGACAGCAACGTAGATGATACACTATAGCTTGTAGACCAACAGTGTTCAGTGATAACTATCTATATTGAAACGTGACAGCAACGTAGATGATACACTATAGCTTGTAGACCAACAGTGTTCAGTGATAACTATCTATATTGAAACGTGACAGCAACGTAGATGATACACTATAGCTTGTAGACCAACAGTGTTCAGTGATAAATATCTATATTGAAACGTGACTGCAACGTAGATGATACACTATAGCTTGTAGACCAACAGTGTTCAGTGATAACTCTATATTGAAACGTGACAGCAACGTAGATGATACACTATAGCTTGTAGACCAACAGTGTTCAGTGATAACTCTATATTGAAACATGACAGCAACGTAGATGATACACTATAGCTTGTAGACCAACAGTGTTCAGTGATAACTCTATATTGAAACGTGACAGCAACGTAGATGATACACTATAGCTTGTAGACCAACAGTGTTCAGTGATAACTCTATATTGAAACATGACAGCAACGTAGATGATACACTATAGCTTGTAGACCAACAGTGTTCAGTGATAACTATCTATATTGAAACGTGACAGCAACGTAGATGATACACTATAGCTTGTAGACCAACAGTGTTCAGTGATAACTCTATATTGAAACGTGACAGCAACGTAGATGATACACTATAGCTTGTAGACCAACAGTGTTCAGTGATAACTATCTATATTGAAACGTGACTGCAACGTAGATGATACACTATAGCTTGTAGACCAACAGTGTTCAGTGATAACTCTATATTGAAACGTGACAGCAACGTAGATGATACACTATAGCTTGTAGACCAACAGTGTTCAGTGATAACTCTATATTGAAACGTGACAGCAACGTAGATGATACACTATAGCTTGTAGACCAACAGTGTTCAGTGATAACTCTATATTGAAACGTGACAGCAACGTAGATGATACACTATAGCTTGTAGACCAACAGTGTTCAGTGATAACTATCTATATTGAAACGTGACAGCAACGTAGATGATACACTATAGCTTGTAGACCAACAGTGTTCAATGATAACTCTATATTGAAACGTGACAGCAACGTAGATGATACACTATAGCTTGTAGACCAACAGTGTTCAGTGATAACTATCTATATTGAAACGTGACTGCAACGTAGATGATACACTATAGCTTGTAGACCAACAGTGTTCAGTGATAACTCTATATTGAAACGTGACAGCAACGTAGATGATACACTATAGCTTGTAGACCAACAGTGTTCAGTGATAACTCTATATTGAAACGTGACAGCAAAGTAGACGATTGTCCTTGTTCCCCACTTAATGTTAAAGCATAGCTTATGGGAGTCTCTGCGATCAAATGTCCTAACAAACCCAAGTAAATTCTAACACTGAAAAAAATTGTTTAGGTTCTACACCAGAAAAAAACATATTTATTTTTGTGATTGTTATTTGATAGATTGTGAAAAAAAAAGATACAGTTACAAATCATACAAAAAGTAATTGAACATAACAGTGAGTGAGAGAGTGAGTTGGGTTTAGCGCCGCTTTTAACAGTATTACAGCTATATAATGGAGTGTCAGCTTAATGTGGGGGGAAAGTCCGAAGTGATGCAGGTTTCAGACATTTACCACTTCGGTGAAACCTACGAGCACGGGTATGGTGCTGACAAACCTAGAAACATAATTGGGGCGAACCAGGATTTGAACGGTTTCTGGCATGCCCAAGGGACGCAACTCTGCACAGTGAATTGTGGTGCCTTAGACGACTGGGCCACCCGTGTCCCCATCCTGTGTTTGAGGTGCAAGAAGGTATAATGTTGCATTCAAGATTATTGTACTTGTATGGTGATGTGAATGTGTACCGTGAAGATTCCGGGTTAGAATAGGTCTTCAGCAACCCATGCTTGTCGTAAGATACGACTTATGGGATCGGGTGGTCAGGCTCGCTGACTTGGTTGATGCACGTCATCGCATCCCAATTGTGCAGATCGAAGCTCACGATGTCAATCACTGGATTGCCTGGTCCAGATTCGATTTTTTACAGACCGCCGTCATATTGCTGTAATATTGCTGAGCGCGGTGTTAAACAACAAACAAACAAACAAACGAAGAAACGGTGTGTATTCACTAACTAGTGTGTCTGATTGTACTAGTCCAGAGTTATGCCAGTTTTACAGTGCAAGTGTCAACGATGATCAGTTCCACCTGGACTTAGTTCTACCCAGAACAAATACTGCCAGTATAAATGGACTGTGAAAAAATATCCCCAGTAAAAACTGTTCCATTGGAATAATTACTATGGAATAAAATAGTACTGAGGAACAATGCCACCACGGGAACAGACACTCTTTGACACCAGTCTACTGAGATACCACTCAGGCACAATATACTGACCCCGAGCTGACAAGTCTTTGTTAAACTTGTTTTATCCCCTTGATGCCAAGCACCAGGCAGGGTAACAACAAGTATCATCCAGGGTTCACTCTAGGAATTTTCTGACATGGGCCATTAATGTGAAAATTTCAAATATTCCAGAGGTACACCCACACTTGCCCATACAGCACAATGTTAAAATGCCCCATTGTATTTGAAAATGTAGGCCTTTTTTTCAAAATATTCCAGCAAAATGGAAAAAAATAAAATACAGGCGAGGGTTCATTTGAAGTCAGTTTTCTATTAAAAATACATTCTGGGACAACTCACAAAGCATGATCGTAGCATGTTTCTGATATAGTCGCATATATATATAAATAAAGACATGTAAGCTTACACAATGATGAGATAGTGTCATGAGTTGTCGTGTGGTGATCTTCACGAGACAAGGGGCACCTAGATATGGCCCAAGTAGAATGATGTGAAGGACATGACTAAGCAGGGAAGTGAGAGCAAGGATATTACCTTGTGGAAAGTGTAGATGTCCTCGTCCGCACACGCCTCCATCTGGATGCACCCCCAAAACCACTGAAACATAGAGTGAGTGAGTGAGTGAATAAGTGGGTGGGTGAGTGAGTGGGTTTGTGGGTGAGTGGGTGGGTTTGTGGGTGAGTGAGTGGGTTTGTTTGTGGGTGGGTGGGTTTGTGAGTGAGTGAGAGTGAAAGAGTGAGTGAGTGAGTGAGTGGGGTTGTGGGTGAGTGAATGAGTGGCAGAGTGAGTGAGTGGGTTTGTGGGTGAGTGAGTGAGTGAGTAAGTGAGACGGCGGGTGGCAGATTGAGTGAGTGGCAAAGTGAGTGAGTGGATTGGTGTGTGGGGGTGGTTGAGTGTGTGAGTGACTGTGAGAGTGAGTGACCAAATTTAAAGTCACATCAGGAGTAGACATCGTTTTTCATATCTGACTGGTCCCTCAAGATTTTCACTTGTCTTGGACTAACATACCAGTAGCCGTGTCTATCCTTGCACAACAACTTTATTTTAGCCATGTGGTGACTGGGACAAGTTATACATTAATAATACAGTCAAACACCATTGTGTCGAGGTCAAAGGGACCTAAATAAAAACTTCGAGTTATCCGAGGTTTTAACACAACCAAAGATCATGAACTACAAAGGAATACCCAGAGACCAAGCTTTTCCTTCGAGACGAGGTTCAACACATCAAAGTTTGACACAACAGTGTTTGACTGTATACACATTTAGACTATCTAGATGAAACCTGTCAACAATGGACAGGAACTGGATATCACAGAGTTGTATTTAAAACAAGTATGTAACCATAAATATGAGTGAGTTGGGTTTAACGCCGCTTTTAACAGTATTCCAGTTATATCACAGCGTGTCAGCTTAATGTGGGGGAAAAGCCCGAAAAGATGCAGGTCTCAGGTGTTTACCACTTCGGTGAAACCCACGAGCACAGGTATGGTGCTGACAAACCTAGAAACATAATCGGGGTGAACCGGGATTCGAACCCACAATCATAGGTTTCTGGCGTGCCCAAGGAATGCAACTCTGCACGGCGAATCGCAGCGCCTCATCTGACTGGGCCACCTGTGCCCCCACTATACATAAGATATGACTATACATAACAATACACAATAACAACAGATCACCAGGAACAAAGTTACACCACCATACCAGGGACTATGGATCAGACAACACCTAGCCACAGATTGGCACAACCACAATATAGTCTGTGTTTCAGTGTTACAGTGACACAGTTACGTCAGTAGTAGTACAGTAGTGTCTCTGTTAAAGGGTTATTGTTACAGCTGTACAGTGAGTGAAAGTTTGGTTTAACGCAATCTCATTAAAATCAGATCTTAGTTCTCGCTATCGCTAAACAAAGATCTGAGGACATCCCATTACGGATCACGTCAGAACGACCTTTCAACCGACCAATCAAAGCATTGCTTACCAGATCGGGAAAGTGACAGTTGGAATGTGTTTTCTAATCATGCATCCTCGAAAAGGTTAACACGGGTTATTCCGAACAACAGTTACGGCCCGTACGACTGATTCCGTCAAAATTATCGTCTATCTCTCGCTTCCGTGGGAAAAATATTTGAATGGAGGAGGCGTTTTACAGTACGCGGGAAGCACTGCCATACAATCGCAACCATATATTAGACATTCCGGAATGTTCGTTTGTTCAGTTTTCAAAATTTTAATGGAGAACTGTGTCAACAAATTTTTCAAGCGTCGTCTGAAATGGAAGTCACCAGGTTGAAACGAGTGCCGTAAAGCTCAAGATAGCTGCTTTCTAATTAAATTTTCTAATTAGCTGATGTCGACTTCTTGTTAGTCATTTCAGTGGTCGGTCAAAGTTCGCGAAAGGTCGTTCTGACGTGAGCCGTAATGGGATGTCCTCAGGTCTTTGTTCAGCGGCAGCGAGAACTTAGGTCTGATCTTAATGAGATTGGGTTTAACGCCGCTCTGAACAGTTAAAATGGTGTGTTAGCTTGATGCAGGAGGAAAGCCCAAAGTGCCGCAGATTCTTTGGTGAAACCCACAAGCACTGGTAAGGTACTGACAAAAACATAGCAATAAAGGCAAGTCTGGGATTCGAACCCACGTTCATAGGTTTCTGGCACGTCTAAGGGAAGTAACTCTGCACAGCAAACTGCAGTGCCTAAGAAATATCATTAAAATCTGATCCTAGTTCTTGCTACTGCTAAACAAAGGTTTGAGGACATCCTATTATGGGTCACATCAAACGACCTTTCATGCGACCAATCAGAGCATTGCTTACCAGATCGGGAAAGTGACAGTCGGAATGTGTTTTCTGATCATGCATTCTCAAAAAGGTTAACACGGGGTATTCCAAACAACAGTTACATGCTCATCAACTGATTCCGTCAAAATCATCGTTAAACACTCACTTCAATGGTATAAGCAATCGAAATGGAAGATATTTTCCATAGCCCATGGGAAGTACTGCCATACAATATCAGCCATCTTTTAGACATACCAGAATTTTCTTTTGTTGAGGTTTCAAATTTTGAATAAATCTTTTTCAAAACATAGTCCAGACTGGAGGTCGTGAGTTTGAAACTGGTGCTGTAAAGCTTGAGAAAGCTGCTTTCTGACTGGCTGATGCCAATTTCTTGTTCGTCATGTCATTGGTCGGTCAAAGTTTGCGAAAAGTTGTTCTGACGTGACCTGTCATGGGATGTCATCTGCTTTGTTTAGATGGGCAGTTTTTGGTAGACGGGGAGGAAGAGGAGAAGGAATCAAATGTATTATTTTGTTGGCAGTAAAATTATCTGAGAGAGGATTTTGATGTTTTGGATCCCTCCCTTGGAACTAATGTATCTTCATTCACAGCAGGTAAGCAACTGTATTTCAGACAACACAACGGACAATGCCAGCTTACCTCCCCTCTGACAATATGTAGAGGTAGCGTGACATCCATGGGGACTTCCTTGACGGCATGGTCGTCCACAACCAGGTGTGTGGCTTCATCACTGCCCAGCGCTGCATATGTGCCCCCTGCAAAACAAAGTTCCACTGTGAAATAGAGGCGACATTCGGGACAGTTTATCTGTTTTGTACTGCAATAGCTAAAAATACCATGGAGAAATTGGTACAACTATGAACTGACGTGGACCGTGCGACCTGCACCCAGTAAACTGCAGTCTTGACTTTATGTTCACTGCCTTCAGAATAACAGCACCACGCCTACACATGTTCACTGCCTTCAGAATCACAGCACCACGCCTACAGCTGTTCACTGCCTTCAGAATAACAGCACCATGCCTACACCTGTTCACTGGCTTCAGAATCACAGTGCCATGCCTACACCTGTTCATTACCTTCAGAATCACAGTGTCATGCCTACACCTGTTCACTGCCTTCAGAATCACAGTGTCATGCCTTCAGAATCACAGTGTCATGCCTACACCTGTTCACTGCCTTCAGAATCACAGTGTCATGCCTACACCTGTTCCTTCCTTCAGAATCACAGCACCATGCCTACACCTGTTCACTACCTTCAGATTCACAGCACTATGCCTACACATGTTCACTGGCTTCAGATTCACAGCACCATGCCTACACATGTTCACTGGCTTCAGATTCACAGCACTATGCCTACACATGTTCACTACCTTCAGATTCACAGCACTATGCCTACACATGTTCACTGGCTTCAGATTCACAGCACCATGCCTACACCTGCCTTTAGATTCACAGTGCCACACTGACAACAGGTCACTGCACTGCCCTTGAAGTCCATGGCAGACCACAGCCTCACGCCTATAACTGGACAGATTTCGAAATCCATGGCAAACCACAACATCCCACCTTCAATGCCTTCGACATATATGGAAAACCTCAGTGCAATGCCTACAACTGTCCCCTCTCCATTGAATAGCCCCATACCACAGCCATTCACTACTACTGTTTACTGTCCTCAGAAATCCAGTGTCAGGCATCTGTTGACCGAGACATCCGTCATAAACAACACCTTCTTCCAGACCAACCAATCACTCCATTATTGAAACAGATATTGATCGGATCTTTTCAGTGTAGTTACCTTTCAATACACATAAAAACCTCAACACATAAACCATCCTTTGCAATCATAAACATCCCGATGGATATCCCCCAAATGGTCCTACTGAGAGCAGGGAGATACAACAGTCTACACTGTTCCCAAGAACACCACCATCAACCACGAACCATCCTGCCTCACCGGCCTCACTGACTTGACATCCAGTGTTTCAGTACATCGGGTGTTTTTAATTCAAACTTGACCGTGTCCCTACGTTCTGTGACATTCAACCTACCATTCTCTATGGTCAGTTCTTCCATGTGCTTCTGCTCCTCCTTAGAGAATCCCAGAAAGCTGAGGCAACACTCGTAGAACGGCTTCACTCTGTACAACATCTGAAACAGTCACACAGAACCCGTCAGAGCGGTGCTGTAACACTCCTAAAACTGTGTCACCCAGACCAGGATGGAGATACTCATCCTCTGTACCGGGCCTGCCAAATACAAGTCATCTTGACCAAGTCACCAGGCTAATTATAACCATATCAACATGAATTGGGGCATTTTTCATTTCAATTTGCAAATTTTTTACTACCATTTGCTGAAAACTTCAGAGCTCAAGATAAGCTTTTGGTGTTGTGGGTATTTTATCCATGCATTTTAAAATCATTGGGTATCAGTAATTCTATCTGGGTATTCAAATTTCTGTTACCCACAAGTTTTTACACATGTGGGTATTTAAGTTAAATATTTAAAAACACTATACATCTAGTCCCTGCAAACTGGTGTCGTGTGGGTTCTTCGTAAATTTTGTGGTTTATGCTGACAGCCTGAAATGTTTATATACGACATATATATTATTCCAGGATTTAATTGCCCATAATTGATTGTGCATATGACACACAAGTGCGTATTATACACGAAAAAATAAGTCTTGTGTACATTGATCAATCGGAAGGGGTGCTAATTGAGATTGCTCACTAGCCAATATATTAGCAAATATCGCCGTGGGCGCTTATTAGAGCAGGGCGCTTATTACATTGAATACGGAATACTACGGTTATAACAAACTCAAAGGGACTGCTAATTTTAGTTCTTTATAACCAAAGTTCGTTATAAGCACATATACAGCAAATGTCCAGGACATAAAAAACTGATATATCCGTCAGTTCGTTATAAGCTTGTTTGTTATAAACATACTGTACTGTATATGACAGTGCCTGTAAATAATTGAATCTGGACCAGTACGAACAATCAAGTGATCGATATTGTAAGCAGCAATCCACACCGTTCGGTTCGGATACCACCCAATCAACCAAGACCACCCGATCCTTAAGTCGCCTCTTAAGACCAGCATTGGTTTCTGGGAACAAATCAAACCCAGAATCCTATGTGTTTCAGTGTAATTAGTTCCATCATTATAACAGTCATATTTATATCCAGCTGGACTCACAATTGAAAATTTTTGCATCCATTCTTAAATTTGTTTTAGCATAGATGCAATATCCTGCATCCACTAAAACCTTGTGTCGACCATAATATTTATCTTTTTTTAAAAAGGCATTTATAAAATCAGATGATTGAAATTAATTTTCCCCATTTAAAAATGATGATGGAGGGGTTGTGCATCATGTTGAGTTAGGCACACTTATTAATGACCATGCCATTTCACACTTTACTACTGAAGCACACAAGGACATCTCTCAACATGTGATAAGTTTTGCATGAAAATATTACTCAAAGTACTTATTTGTTTGTTTGTTGATTAACGCCGTGCTCAGCCATATTTCAGCTATGACGGCGGTCTGTAAATAATCTGGACCAGACAACCTAGTGATTGACATCATGAACATCGATCCATGCATTTGGGATACAATGACATGCATCAACCAAGTCGGCGAGACTGACCACCCAACCCCGTTAGTCGCCTCTTACGACAAGCATAGTTGTCTTTAACGGCAAGCATGGGTTGCTGAAGACCTAGTCTACCCCGAACCTTCACGGGTCCTCAAAGTACTTAGCTTTTAAAATACTCTAACCACAAAATCTCCATCACCATGCCATCGAGGTACTTAAGTCAAATAGGACTCTTTTCAATGCCATTTATTTTGGAAATGTTGTTTCATGAGTATAGACTCAACATGCAAACTAAGGAGTTCCTTGCAGTATTTTCCTTCGGACTCTTGGGACCTCTAGATTCTTAAGTTTAAATACCAGCTTTATCAGGGTTCACTGAACTTCACTGTAGGACTCCTGTTGACTTGACATACATGTGAAGGGTTATGATGTAGTTGTTCCTAGTGTGAATTCAGTGGTTTGAGTGTCGGATGTTTTCCGTTATGGTGGGGATGTGACCAAGCAGGAAGTGAGATGCAATCCAGTCAGGAAATTTGTCAGGAAGCCATGAACACTTTCACCCAGATTCACAGCTGCTGCCTGTCATCAACAGTCTTCACCATGGAGCAGGGAGATACAACAGTCTACACCATGGAGCAGGGAGATACAACAGTCTACACCATGGAGCAGGGAGATACAACAGTCTACACCATGATGGAGTAGGGAGATACAACAGTCTACACCATGGAGCAGGGAGATACAACAGTCTACACCATGGAGCAGGGAGATACAACAGTTTACACCATGGAGCAGGGAGATACAACAGTCTACACCATGGAGTAGGGAGATACAACAGTCTACACCATGGAGTAGGGAGATACAACAGTCTTCACCATGGAGCAGGGAGATACAACAGTCTACACCATGGAGCAGGGAGATACAACAGTCTACACAATGGAGTAGGGAGATACAACAGTCTACACCATGGAGCAGGGAGATACAACAGTCTACACCATGGAGTAGGGAGATACAACAGTCTACACCATGGAGCAGGGAGATACAACAGTCTACACCATGGAGCAGGGAGATACAACAGTCTACACCATGGAGTAGAGAGATACAACAGTCTACACCATGGAGTAGGGAGATACAACAATCTACACCATGGAGTAGGGAGATACAACAGTCTACACCATGGAATAGGGAGATACAACAGTCTACACCATGGAGCAGGGAGATACAACAGTCTACACCATGGAGCAGGGAGATACAACAGTCTACACCATGGAGCAGGGAGATACCACAGTCTACACCATGGAGTAGGGAGATACAACAGTCTACACCATGGAATAGGGAGATACAACAGTCTACACCATGGAGCAGGGAGATACAACAGTCTACACCATGGAGCAGGGAGATACAACAGTCTACACAATGGAGTAGGGAGATACAACAGTCTACACCATGGAGCAGGGAGATACAACAGTCTACACCATGGAGTAGGGAGATACAACAGTCTACACCATGGAGCAGGGAGATACAACAGTCTACACCATGGAGCAGGGAGATACAACAGTCTACACCATGGAGTAGAGAGATACAACAGTCTACACCATGGAGTAGGGAGATACAACAGTCTACACCATGGAGTAGGGAGATACAACAGTCTACACCATGGAGCAGGGAGATACAACAGTCTACACCATGGAGCAGGGAGATACAACAGTCTACACCATGGAGTAGAGAGATACAACAGTCTACACCATGGAGCAGGGAGATACAACAGTCTACACCATGGAGTAGAGAGATACAACAGTCTACACCATGGAATAGGGAGATACAACAGTCTACACCATGGAGCAGGGAGATACAACAGTCTACACCATGGAATAGGGAGATACAACATTCTACACCATGGAGCAGGGAGATACAACAGTCTACACCATGGAGTAGAGAGATACAACAGTCTACACCATGGAGTAGGGAGATACAACAGTCTACACCATGGAGTAGGGAGATACAACAGTCTACACCATGGAACAGGGAGATACAACAGTCTACACCATGGAGCAGGGAGATACAACAGTCTACACCATGGAGTAGGGAGATACAACAGTCTACACCATGGAGCAGGGAGATACAACAGTCTACACCATGGAGCAGGGAGATACAACAGTCTACACCATGATGGAGCAGGGAGATACAACAGTCTACACCATGGAGCAGGAAGATACAACAGTCTACACCATGGAGCAGGGAGATACAACAGTCTACAACATGGAGTAGGGAGATACAACAATCTACACCATGGAGCAGGGAGATACAACAATCTACACCATGGAGTAGGGAGATACAACAGTCTACACCATGGAGCAGGGAGATACAACAATCTACACCATGATGGAGCAGGGAGATACAACAGTCTACACCATGGAGCAGGGAGATACAACAGTCTACACCATGGAGCAGGGAGATACAACAGTCTACACCATGGAGCAGGGAGATACAACAGTCTACACCATGGAGCAGGGAGATACAACAGTCTACACCATGGAGTAGGGAGATACAACAGTCTACACCATGGAGTAGGGAGAAACAACAGTCTACACCATGATGGAGTAGAGAGATACAACAATCTACACCATGATGGAGCAGGGAGATACAACAGTCTACACCATGGAGTAGGGAGAAACAACAGTCTACCCCATGGAGTAGGGAGATACAACAGTCTACACCATGGAGTAGGGAGATACAACAGTCTACACCATGGAGCAGGGAGATACAACAGTCTACACCATGGAGCAGGGAGATACAACAGTCTACACCATGGAGTAGGGAGATACAACAGTCTACACCATGGAGCAGGGAGATACAACAGTCTACACCATGGAGCAGGGAGATACAACAGTCTACACCATGGAGTAGAGAGATACAACAGTCTACACCATGGAGTAGGGAGATACAACAGTCTACACCATGGAGTAGGGAGATACAACAGTCTACACCATGGAATAGGGAGATACAACAGTCTACACCATGGAGCAGGGAGATACAACAGTCTACACCATGGAGTAGAGAGATACAACAGTCTACACCATGGAGTAGGGAGATACAACAGTCTACACCATGGAGCAGGGAGATACAACAGTCTACACCATGGAACAGGGAGATACAACAGTCTACACCATGGAGCAGGGAGATACAACAGTCTACACCATGGAGTAGGGAGATACAACACTCTACACCATGGAGCAGGGAGATACAACAGTCTACACCATGGAGCAGGGAGATACAACAGTCTACACCATGATGGAGCAGGGAGATACAACAGTCTACACCATGGAGTAGGGAGAAACAACAGTCTACCCCATGGAGTAGGGAGATACAACAGTCTACACCATGGAGTAGGGAGATACAACAGTCTACACCATGGAGCAGGGAGATACAACAGTCTACACCATGGAGTAGGGAGATACAACAGTCTACACCATGGAGTAGGGAGATACAACAGTCTACACCATGATGGAGTAGGGAGATACAACAGTCTACACCATGGAGTA